GACAATACTAATCTTAAATTATATTGGCTTTTACATTTATGAATTGCACCACAAATACTTGTTTTAAAGAATGTTGAGATCTGACAAAGCATTACTCATTTTTATCCCTATTTGGAATTATCATTATAGCAATGTGACATGAATGTGTTTCTCTCTAAAATTTTCAAACTATGATTTTAGATATATCACAAGTTTAGACCCGTTTCGATACTTCATTTCAAAATGCCTACATACCCGTATCCTGGGTGTACAGCGCTTTTCACTGTGTTATTGTCAGCAAACAAGAATCGGTTTGTGCTTATTTCATTATATATTACAGAACCTCTCAGTACACGATAACTCTTATGCATTATCAATCCTTCCCCGTGCAATGATATGGCAAATACTCTACTTTACCTGTAAGATTTATTTTAGAATCATTTATTAAAATATTGAGCTTAAAAATAAATGTTTGTTTAATATAAAATTTAAACATGTGTATCTACACCATTGATGAGGCTCAGATATCAACCTTGCTCTCCGTAACAAATCTCTGGACAAAATTTCCATTCGCCAAATAAGGTACTCCAATATTTAAACAAAATCTCACTACACGAGGCGTAGGATGTAACGAGAGACACCATTGATTATCCCGCCAGCCTGTCCCCGGCAGACATGGACCGTGCACCCACAAACAAGTCGGAGGGGGCTACCCGAGCTGTAAAGCATCAGATACTGCTCTAAAACAGAATTTATATTAAAGGCACTCTGCAATGCAAACTACATTGTCACGTGTGGGTTATAGTATCTTGTAATATATATATATGTATTCAGCACGGAATCTTGTACTGAAAGTCTACACTCAACTATAACGATAATCTAATAGTAGGAAAAGATAATGGGTTATTTACTTAGTACAGCATTGAATTTCATTCGCGGTTCACATTGACGGCCCACCCCTTCAAAAAGGGGATTTTTTTTTTGTTAAAGGTAAAATTATTTCCCTCTTGCCATGAGCCCCATGATTTGACTTATACACAATGCTACGGTCAATTTATTGCCGTATTTTCGCCCTGGCGGCTGCACTTCTCACAACGGAATCATTATATTATGCCCTCTATCAGTCCCCACGTACCCTTGCCCCATTCACCGACCGTATCAAAGCCTGTGGTATTAGGAGATACGTTAGTGACGATGGATAGTAAAGACTCGCCTTCGATCTGACCTTATTATTAGCACTTAAGCTAACAATACTTAACACCGCTGTCACAACGATTAAAACGGGTTTAATGTTATCATTCAACGGAGAAGTGACATTTACTTGTTGAGGCTCATTGAGATTATAAGGATAATTACTTTCTCGTAAGATGTCCGTAAAGTACTCCGTAATCTAATTAACATACACCAGGGCCCCGTTGCACAAAACTTACCATTGATGGTAACTTTGCCATCAATGGTAACTACTGTACCATGGGAATCTTGATTTTGATTGGCTGTTGAGCCCTGTTACCATGGTAGTTGCCATCGGTGGCAAAGTTACCATCAATGGTAAGTTTTATGCAACGGGGCCCAGGATGCAATTTTGAGTTGAATTTCAAATTTAAAAATATAAAGAAACCGAAATATATCGTTGATGGTAGAAAAAAAATGAAATAATAGGCCTACTGGTCATGCTATTAATTAATACTGAAACTTCAGTGAACGTAGGAATAATAATAAATTTCTTCTTCTGAAATTGGTCCTAAAAAGAATTTTAATATACACGCATAATAAATATTGCAATTACAGTTAAATGTATTTAGTCAGAGCTTTCCAGTTTTACCCTTTCTTTTTGAAAAATATAATGACATAACAATTTGGTTGGTCGTAGAAGAAGTTCATAAGAAATCAAAGAGTATGACGTAGAATGAAGTACTCTTATTGTGGGGGGTTTCACGGCCTTGAACTCTATAAGAGGAAGGAAGGAATCTAATTTGCATTAGTTGACAAACATTGAAAATACCTTCATTATAAAATACAGATACTAAAACAATCTCAGAAAATGTATCAAAATATTGCTTTCATGTGGATCTTATTATCGATCACAAACGTTTCTATTTGTTTTATATTGACATACTCATGTTTTGTTCTTCATCGTTTAACCCGCGTTAAAATTCTGTTAATTTAGAATATCATTGTGTTCCCAAGTTTTAAAAACTTTCGTTTAGATTTACAAAGGTACCTCCCCGTGTATGTACACTAAAGTTGAACCCATGCATAATACATCACGATGTAGGGATATCACATAACTTCATCTCATCACTCCGCTGAGAGACCAAGCTGGTGTCGAACAAACACCTTCAAGCCAGACCGGTGAAATGAACCCGCTCGAGCCATGGGTCAAAACTTCTGAGAAGATCCCTAAGGAAGATGGGTGATCGGGCGCTCTGTGTGACCATCCCGCATCCAGGGGTTGGGTGGAACGGGTGGAGGAGCCAAATCACGTCCTTATATGTCCAACGAGGCGCCTCCGGTGATGGGAGAAACATTACCATATATAGATAGAACAGTGCTATCCGACCCGCTTCCACATCGCTGGGTACAATACGAATAGTGCAGTCGTAGATAGGCTCACTGCTATCCACCATCGCCCTGGCGAAAGTTCCAGGCTCCAAGGTAGTGTAAGTAAGTCTGATAGGTCCATGAATAAAGCGAGTAGCACTGGTAGCTAGGCCCTGGATGGAAATTTGGAGGGTAGGGGTGTCGCACCTAGATGGTAAAAGGGCTATGACAAACGTTGCGCTTAAGTAATACATGACCTATTACATGAAAGTCATATGTATTAGGGTCCCTGGATCGAACTGGTGATTCATATTCATTACGGGAATTAACACTGGTAGAATCTTTAATCATCACATTGGCCCCACGCCCTATTCATAATGTTTCACTTGCAATAAGTTTCTATTTTTTCACGTTACATCTTTTCATTGACTCCCTACATTTTGACATTCTTCTTTAATAACTGTTGATGTTATCATTTTTCCTATGAACTCTTCGAACTTCGAGTATACCCGGCCGTAAACAGAGGTCGGGCATAGTTTATTTTAATCAACGCTTGAACGTCCTTACACTGGAGGCATACGGGTACCATAAGTTATTTAAAAAAACGTAAATCGATATAAGATATCGATGACACAGGCCTCGATGTAATAAATGTGTGGCCATCTTCTGCCCTGTCTTATTTTAGTTTCCCATTATGTTGTCCACAGTAACTAAAGAAAATCAAAGACTCTTGTTTTAACACTCCTCCATTTTGCATCTTTCTTTGTATTATGTTCTTGAAACCACACGAACTTTTCCTGGACGTGACAACAAATTTAGTACCAATTTCATAGTGCGGAATGCATCTTCAAGACATTTCAAAGAATGCCGTGAGATTTTATTACGCTTTAAGAAAAATAGCACTCCACACGACGAATATAAGAAACAAACAAAAGATGAAATTGATTACTTCTGACATCTTACAACATTCCAGTCAGCTTTGATAACTTTCCAAGCTGCGAGGTCAACGACCTTCTCCATAACACACGAGTGCATGAGACACATAAGATGAAGTATGGGATAAGAATTAGCACACGAGCGTCGATTAAAATACCAAATATGGAATGACGGAGAGGCTCGTTTGATAGAATCGGATCTGAAAGGAGATGTCACGTTGTATTAGGGTCTCATCGACTGTATAAAGTTCACATATAAGTTTTAGTCTATTTGGGGGTAATTCCTGTTCAAGGAACACTTTTCGAAAAGCTGATGAGCTGCATACAGTGCCCATACACACCTAACTCGCCCTCTCCCTCTCTCTCTCTCTCTCTCTGTCTTACCCTGTCATTGTTTTACATTTTAACGTTCTTTGAAATCTGTTCAATGAACATTAACCCACTTTTTCGTAAAAATACATTTCTACTTGACACTTTGCATCATTTCTCGTCCAGTCAATGCCAGCACATGATTGTTAAAGCTTCATTTAGAAACAAATAGTATCAGTTTTAACTGAACATGGATAGCGAATTATTATATCCTGCGCCCTCTCCGTAGATTGAGAGTTCAATTCAGACTTACATTTTTTTTAAAGGGTTACGATTTTAAACTTAGAAAATAACTCGAAGAATAAGAAATTTAATACAAACGAATTATCATAGTATCCTTTGTTAAGAAAGGACTGAACCTATTGAAAACTTGAAAAATGATCAAGGAATAAACAAACCCGGTAGATCATAACCTGATACAGAGAGGTTATTAGTTTATTACTACTGTATATCAGGTTTCCACATCCTCGAGATCACTTTTCAAATTCAACCGAGAGGGGGCGCCCAATCATTTCAGCCCGAGTGAGTTGTGGAGTGATTTATTATTCCCACATGTCAATGGAACCAGTGGTTCATCCTCGTTAGCATACAGTCATACATGTTTTAATTACATAAGTTATCGTTATTCTAATAATGAAGAAAAAAAAAAAAGATAACACTTGTTCATATATATAGGAGAATATTGGTACAATCCCAACTGCTCACCTACAAGGGTCACCATTCATTAGGCAAGGTGAAACATAATGCAGAAGTAATAATAATCGAATGAAAATATAGCACTCACCTCGTCACGGTGACACTGCATCCGATTGAGAAAGAACAATCCTCAAAGACTGCTTGTCGGTAGAAAAAGGGTTAGATATTAACTACTGGGTAGCTTTGCTAGATGTGTAAATGGTCATCTCCCTGCAAGCGATATTAGAAGCCTCTTGCTAGAAAGTCCACTCGTGAAATCATTTTCGAAAACATCCTGACATCATATTATTTTGATCCCAGACGACACTTTTTCAAAAAGTTATTATGTTCTAGCATCCTCCTCCTTAAAGAATTCTGAACACACAGAAAGCAAATTCCAGTCCTACTTTCCTATCTGCTGATAGAAAGTCCTATGAAGATGAACAACACGAGAGTCAATCGGATTTCACTATTGCACCACTGAGAAAATTATGTGTTTGATAAGATGTACAAATCCTATCGGTTGATGTAAGAAATATTGCACTGTTTCCAACACACACCATGTATCTCATTCCATATGAAAGAGTTTACGATAAGTGCACTGAAGTACAAGGCAGAATGGTTAGGTCTTAAGGTCTAATCTATACATCTGTCGAATATGGGCTAACACCAGAACTAAAGTCATTATCATTTCTCGATATATTAAGTGTAGTATCGGATGGATCATCTCCATTGTCCACTTCTTTGTCTTTGGTATATAAACCGATTTCCTGGGGTATCCTATGTGTCTGTACGTCTTCTGTCGATACACGTTTCCCGCCGTTCTGTGATGCTTGGTCCCCATGAACTACTTTCAATGATTCTCCGATAGTATTTTCATGTTGAGAACCGAAGTCTGTATCAATACATCGATTTGATTGATTTCCACTTTGGTCTATACTGTGCTTCCTGTGCTGACCCGCAGCTAATGATTTCTCACCAATCGTACCGTTAAACAAATCAGGTGCACTTTGATCAGCTGCATGTTCCGAAGAGCCCCCTGTACCAGATATAAAATCCACATCATCGGATAGACGTGTTCTACTTAGAGGATCAGGTAGACTGTGTTCTTCTAAACTCCAATCGCTGTCTCCAAAACCGATTGGAGAGGACAGTCTGTCGCCATCAGGAAACTGTTGGAATTTATCTTCCAGGTGGATTGTTAGTGAATCGGAGGATTCTGCGTGAGATGGGCAATCATCGGAGGCTTGTCCAATGTCCAGTGGTCTAGGACGAAGGGCAATGGTCCTACCTTGAAGCCTTTCAGGAACGTCATCATCGCTTGAAGAAGAATCAGTTGAATGAGCACGATTGCGTCTCCTTATCGATAAGGTCCTCAAGAGAGGATTTCGCGATGGTCGTGTTAATCTAGGTGCATACAAACTACCGAAACTGTGTCTCCGACTTCTATCAGAGCTGCGAGGAATGTGTGTATTATCATCTATCGAGTCTAGTGACTTTGTAACAGGTAGAGGCCTCCGACGAAGCCTTGTCGTCGTTAAATCTTGGCTGAACAAACTATGCTTTAACAGATCACGAAGCGGTGTTCTTTTGACTTTATGCCCAGTGAGCAGATCCGTACCAGCCATTTCTTTCCGATTAATGCTGTTGTTATTGTTCAAATTTGTCTCTTGACCATTAACGACGGGTTCTGCTGGATTGGTTTGGGCAACGCCATCAGCTTCCAAGCCTGGATCGCGTACAGTCATTGATATATTTCCCACTAGTTCAGACATTACCTTCAGTGAATCCTCAAGACTGCACTGCCCCCAAATATTACCATCACTATGAATCCTGGATACATTTATATTCACATCAGATCCATCCAGATATTCCCCATTGCTGTCTGACATATGTAAAAGATCTACCTTCCTTAACCTTTCTTTTCTGCGATGCGAAGGTGTACTCCTTATGGAGCTCAAGCTTCCTGCATCTGATTCAGAGTCGCCGAACTTGTGAACCAGTGTGTCCAACTTTTGGCGCAACTTTTCTTCTGTTTCATTTTCATTTTCATCATAAGAAGTCAGGGTCAGCAGGTCATCGATGATGTCCAGACACGAATCAACTTTCTCAGTAAGCTCTTCGGCCTTTTCAAGATCTAAGCGAACCCTTTCTACATTCTTAGAATGCATGGGAGATTTCTTTCTTCGACTAGATGACCGCTTTTTTCTAGGGGATTTACTTCTCGTCAGACTATTAACGTCGTCTATATCAGCGAATTCGATGATGTCTTTATCTGCTGGCGACAGGGAATGGTTAAGTTTTGTTGGTGACTTGACATGATTGCGACGGGACGATCTCCGCTTAGAGCCTTTATGATGTTTAGGCTCGGTCAGACCGTTACCTTCAGAGGTAAAAGTGGCAGTTGAGACTTTGTTCTTAGTTTGCTTATTATCATCACTTGGCGGCCCTTCTGCTGATGCGTAAGTCTCCGAGCTGTTCGATTCCTTACACGTCACTCCATCATTGCTGGCAACACTTAATCTATCATCGCAGATACTCTGTTGGGATTTTCCAGGACCATACTTCGACAAAACTGAGCTTAGGATTTCATCAGTATTTTCGTCGTTTACTCCACCTGAGTTTGTTAGAGGACTGTTACTTGAATCTTCTACAGTGTCAGTTCTAACCGTCCTCATCCCATCTCCATCGAAGCTGATCCTGCTGCTATGGTTTGGGGTATCGGAGTTTAAATCACCGAAGGGAACAACTGTCTCCTCGTTACTGGTTTTGGTTGATACGACGGATGCGGGTTCTCTGGTAGACTGTCTGAACATTGCAGGCTCTGAAATTACCAACATCGGAGTGCGCTGTTTCACCTGCTGATTTTCTTCTGTCGGTCCTGAAGATTCTGGAAAATAAAATCAAACAAATGTCTTACAGATACCGTAAATATAATTTTCCTCATTTGAAATGTCAGACGTGAGGACAGTCATGATTCCAATCATTATTATTTGTGAAGTTCTGTCATCGGCCGGTAAACCTTTATTTTTAACCAATGATAGATAATGATTGTTTGTTGAGCATGAAACGTTGGTGAGTTTAGATTTGCCAAAGAGTGGCCCGGTTTGAGGTTTTTTGAAGAAGGTAGAGCTATGTCTGGAAGTTTATACAGTATTTTATCTTGAGTTTATGGAGGTTGAGAGAGGTCAAACACCAAACAAGAAGAATGTTCATACCTTGCACTTCCAAGAGGCTGACACAAAGCACCATTCCATTATCATTGGCGGCACTACACACATATGTACCCGCATCAGAAAGCGAGATGTCCCGGATGTGAAGACAATGGATGCAACCTTCAACTCTAATAGTGATGCGGTCATCACCATGGTTACATGTGATGAGGATGTCATCTTTAAACCATTTCACATCTGGGAATGGCTCACCTTAGAGAGGATAAAGGAATAAATTAGTACATAATAAATTAGAAAAAGAGATCAAAGAACAGAATATGCAAACTATCTTCCATCAACCTATCTCTGATTTACAAATTATAATGACATCCCCTGTATGTCCGTCTCTCTAAGACTATATTTTTTCTAATAATCGTAAATATCCTTGAAAAAAAGAGTATGGATGTTTTTATCAGATGTCTATTAACAACTGGCCTAAGTGAAAATAAGTTGAAAGTGGGAATATATAGTACTGTAGTAAACTAATCAATCTTCACTTGCATCTGAATTTTATCATTTAGTATATCCATGGTTTTATTAAAGGTTTCTAGATATACAACGGAAAGGTGCACATGTAACGAAATGTTTTATGATTTTGTCTACATAGGCCTGTGTCCATGATCATCCAATGAACGTGAAACAAGTCAATAGGGAAAAGACATTTCTGTCAACCTTTTATCCATGTTGATGCTCTCGAATTTACCTTCAACAGGGCAGAAGAAAGACGCCTTTGATCCTACAAGGGCTTGGACCTTCTGTCTAGGAAGTGATGCTGATGAGATGTGTACCTGGTCCTGCAGGTTTGATTCAGCGTTGACGAGGTTCTTGTTTGATGTCTCGTTTTTAGGGTCGTCAGACAACCTATTCAAAACATGAAATGACAATATTATGAAGGAAGATGCATTTCTTTTTGGCATCCCTTCGACATGAAAAAATAAATCTATATGAACAATGTTAAATATTTAATACATTAATGATTTCTCCCTGCATAACCATCAACCCATCATCCGTTCTAATTCCCCTACCACCCTACCCCTACCTCCCCCCCCCCCTCTCTCTCTCTCTCTCTCTTCTTTCTCTCTCTCTCTCTCTATAACCATCTTATCTTCGAACTTACTGTATCAACGTCTTACAACAAACTTTCCCCAAATTCTTTTTAACCGTTTACGATTTTAAAAACATAACTAAAATTGAATTATAATTCTCAAGATTGCAAACTGGCATCTCTCTCTCTCTCTCTAGGCTCTCTCTCTCTCTCGCTCTCTCTCTCTCCAACCATCTTATTTTCGAACTTACTGTATCAACGTCTTACAACAAACTTTCCCCAAATTCTTTTTAACCGTTTACGATTTTAAAAAGATAACTTAAATTGAATAATAATATCTCAAGAATGCAAACTAGCATTTTAGAAGATTTTATATTAAACTAATCAAACTTCAATTTAGGATGAGAAGTATAGACTCACCTGTCATTTTCATCTCTCGTAGATGGATCAGTCAGTCCAGGATCTTGGAACACAAATGTTATAAACACAAAGGAGGTTCAGGCAAAGCTAAGAATCATATTTGCATGTGCAATGACAATTAAATCGTTCATGTAACTAGAAAAAATAAAGGATCGAAATTAGAGGCCTAAAGTCATCTACAAGGTATCCCATTAGTTTTGTTTTCTACTCTTTATCTAGTTAACATGCACAATCAAACCAACAGTTATTAAATCATAGTAGAAGTTAGTTGCAGATATCATCAGTTGTCTTCATATGTATTATTTGTTGGTCCCATGCTGTTTTGTGACCTACCTGGTGCCTCGACATTGAGTTGGGCGGAAGTGAATGCTTGACCCTGCGAGTTGATAGCCACGCATGCGTACTCGCCCGTGTCCACCAACTTGACCTCGACGATGTCTAGAATGGACACCAGTGCGCATGCGTCATCCCCAGCATTGCCATCGTTGTCTTCGCTGTAGTCTGTGATTTTCAAACGGTCGTCTCTCTCGGGTCTTATCACTTTACCTGAAGCAAACCAACTGATGTCGGGTCGGGGTGAGCCTAAAGAATAAACGAAATTTAGATATCCTTCATATTAACTTTACAATAGGCCTATCATAAATGCGGATCATGCTGTTGAACAGATGTGTAGGTGGTTTTACTAGAAAGAATAAATTAGCCATAATAACATTTTATTTTTTCCCGACTTTGTCTCCCCTACATCATCCTACATATTTCAATAGGACACTGCCGTTATTGTATCAACATCAGACATTTTCTTTTCATGAGGTACGCTTATTCTGGACAACCAGAATTAAAAAATTGAACTGAATTTGCATTTCTATTAGCTCCCATTGCTTCCGTCTCACTGCTATTCACATCATAATTTTGTCTTCGATTATAGAGCCAAAGAAAACTAGATCAGTTATATAGAGCGATTCAGTCTAGTACTTTGTGAAAATTATGATTTATTTAGGACAAATTAATCAATGCCTGTCTCATGAGATGAGACTCACCTGTTATACAGCAAACAAAGCGAGCACGATCTCCATGGAAACAGGATGCGCTCTTTGGTCGAATCAGAAATCGAGGAGAGTGATGTTGGATAGAAGGCTCCATCTGTACCAGTTCTGTCATGTTATCTTCTTGGACGAGCGTCCTCTCTAGTTCATCTACCCTGTAACCATAGCAACAATGGCAGTGCAATATTTTGGTGAATTTACGTTTATTTGAACTGATCTAACTTTTGTGTGAAAATATATTTCAAAAAGTGATTTTGATGATTTAGAAAATATACAATATCTTTAATTCACCTTTACATTGGTTTCACTATATGCATGCATATTCCTTTCAACAAATTATCTTTTATCGATTTAGACCTACTTATGTTTATTGATTCATGTTAAAAGTGGCCATATTATATTCAAGGTTCACAAAGTATATGGAAATGATATATATCTAAATAAAGATTTTCAATACAATTAATGTCATGCAGATACATGTAGGTCAGTAGGCTTCTATCAGGAAACGTGATCTATATACATGCACGTTTGTGATATATGATTACGAAAACATATTTTTACAGCGTAATTTTTACCTAAATCCTTGATGTCTACTTGGGTAATAAAAATATTGATTACTCTTACCTGTCCGAGAAATCTGAGTAGGCCGTCTCATACTCAGTGTCATCCGATGCCTGGTCATGATAGCCTGGGGGTCAGAAGAAAAGCAATGGTCAGATAATGACATAAATTATCAAAATGACTAGCCAAACTAGAGCACACACAGTTTGTAATACATGACCGTGATAATGGTGTTTGTAGTCTGTTGTGAGAATTACTTGCCACCAAGCTAGCAGGAAGTTGAATAAAAATGTTTAGGAAGAGATAGAAAAAGGGACCGGAAGAAAGATTAAAGAAAAACAATTAAAGCTCAGTATCACGTGAGAATAGTAAAGTTCAGGGAGAAAGGTAACTTGAAGGAGAAGAAGAAAATGAATGGGAAGAAAACAATTATCAGCAAACATAGAAAGAATAAAGAATAGAGAATAAGAAGAAAAAATAATAGTTTAAAAAAACAAAGTAGAAAGACTGAACAGAACAATGATAATTAAAGCATATCGTTAGAAATAATTGCATACCACGTTCAAACTTAAAAGCAAAAACTATTCAATCCAAGAAATTAAATCCATAACATAAACATAGAAAAAGTAGGTCACGTGAACTCTTATCTAGACGCATAAAATGGAAAGCTGAGCGAAGAAGTAAGTCAATCCAGGGCACACCTCTTCCGTGTTTTCCTCTCTAATCCTCTCTTTAAATCCTCTTTCTACTTAGAGATCCGCACGTGTAATCCCAAATCCTCAAGCTGATCTCATCCAGACCGTGTTCAAACACTACTCACATCGTAAAACTTTACTTTAATTATGATTTAGTCCCAAAACCTCACAATTCAACGTACATGATATAGATTGCCTATGCTAGACGCGGTTTTTAACTCACAGAATAGGCCTTGCTATAGAAGTTGTTTTGTCATGGTACTCTTTTTTCTCGAAGCGAGAGGTTTTTTTTTCCCAGGCACCGGTCACTCAACGTGGAAAGGGAAATGAACGCATACCCATTACCCTTGATGAAAGGCTATCATTCAACTGAATTAAAGGTCGTTCTCGTTGTTATTGCTACTATCGCGCTTAAGGCATACAAGGCAGGACCAAGGTACCATTCCAGGTACCATCACTACACCTGGGTTGAAAGACGCAAATGTAGAGTAATGTCTTACCCTTACCATTGAGGGAATTCTATCATGTAAATGATTTAAAGGTTGTTCTTTTATTGCCATTGTTATATAGTGTTTTCAGTGTATTACTTCTTATTTATTACACCTGGGTTGAGAGTGGAAAATATAGTTAAATGTCTTGTCAAACTTAAGAACCTTAGTGCCGCGGTGGTGGGGAAATATGCAGGAAAACATTTTTGTATTTAGGGCTGCTCTGTAAGCTGTAAATGCAGGAAATAGCAATTATCCCTAAGCAACGACGTCGTAAATCGCCAAATCACTTTAATTAAGCTCACAGACATTGCAACGTTTCCTTTAATCTCTCAATTTAAATGTCAATTAGTCTTCTGATTAACGATCGTTTAAAGAATCTTGTCTCATAATTGTTATTTGATATGTATCAACCAAAAAGAGGATTCGTATACAAGTACGAAGGACACCATTCGAATCGTTTTAAAGTACATTCCAAAGGTTGTGTATTTTGTGTAATTTGTGATACCAATGATGGGGTTGAACATATCCTTTTCCCCATATATAGAAATCTAATCTCATTTACAGAAAGTATCTTTTTAATTAAACAGCTTGTACATTTCAACAAGAAATATTGCCGATGCGTTCCAAATTGATAATTTTCATGATGTGGCCTCGTAAAAATACAGCATAGAAACGGATACCGGATCATTCGGATAAGTCAATTAGTTGACACGGATCGCATTTTGACAGTTTGTTAATTTGTCTATTGCGCTGGGTTTATTAGCGAGGTTTAGAGAAGTTGGTAATGCCTATGCTCTTACAGGAAGAAGCCTTTAATGACATAATACTTTTGCTTAGACAGGACCCACTTTAGAATGAGTCATATCTGCAGAGATAGATCGATAGAATGTCGGTAAGATGTCCTATATTTGGCCTTTGTTGGGGATATCTAGAGGGCAGATTTGGGTAGGCTGTGGAGTGGGCAATTTCAAGTATCTTTAAAATCTGTAAAAAGTGTCTGCAGTACTCTGCGTGAACTTTGAATCTATGCTTACATTTGTATTTATTTTTGGTTAAAGGAACCTTTCATTTTCCCCATTAAATTATGATGATCCGCTCCCTTCCTCCCTGTTGTATACAATTTAAGGCCTATTCCTTCTTCTTCCTTTTCTTCTTTCAGTCCATTGTTCTTAGTTTGTTACTTTCCCCTCTTTTTAAAAATTGTACTACGACTTTGTTTCTTCTTCCCCGTATTTCCTCAGTCTCTAGCCAACCATGTTCACCACTACTGCCCCTTCCCACTTCCCCTACTTCCTAAATCCTAGCAAGGTAGGAAACTCAGACGTCTTAATTTCTTAACGTCGTCTTCCCTTGGGTCATGACGAATTAACAAATATAATTCGAAGTCACGGGAGAGTTGAAAACCGGAAGATTGCCCTCCTCTTAATGTTTGCTTGGCATAAATCCGTCAGTGTAACTCAGACAATATCGATACGAAATGATTGATACAAATTGGTAAATATTAATCTAATAGGTGAAGAAAAATATATTAAATTAAGCTCCATACACATGTACCTCATGAATGAATAAATGCATTTTATACCAATGAAAATGTACTAGAACAGCTTCGAAAAACGAGGGATTTTCCGACCTTTACAGTAAACCCTATAAATTTATCAAATTGCAATTGGAATGGATATCTCACCATGAAGCGATTTTCCATTGATACCAGTCGTCGAGGTTGATTTCAAACGAGTACTATCGACCTCATCTTCTCGATCACGGGTTCGTCGACTGAGCGGAGCGGTGGTCAATGACGTCAGAGAATATGAGACAGGGTTGTTGCTTATTTTCACATGTCCATTACTTTCTTTCGTCGTCATTGAAGTCATCATCAGCCTCTCGATGTCAACTTCATCATGCATTTGCAGCAACGAAGCGGTGGGTGATGAAGGGGGTATTTGAGAATGCTCGACATCAGCATAGTGTACGGAACTGACAGGTCTACTTCCATTTTTGTCAAGATTGAACTTATCACCTTTCGCACCTGTGTAGTGAATATATTAAACAGAATTCTTTCATGAATTAGTTCAAAATCACATGAGTTTTTATAAAAAAAATTATCTGTATTAATTTGCTGATGGCAATATAATGTTTAAATGATTAATGTAAACATAAAAAGAATCTTTAAAACACGAGGAAGCTTTCCATGACGAGTGTGAACAACTGGGTATCAGAGGGAGGTACACTGGTGAATTATTTTGAAGAGTTTGCAATAGTTATTTCATTCGCTGCCAACATGGCCTTTATGATATCATAATATTCATCATGATGACATGTAAATAATAAATGAATGGTCTGAATGAAATAAAGCTGAGGGCAGATCACTTTTCTAGTTGGTCTGTAATTATTTTGGTATGACTTCATTGCATGGAAATGCATAATGTTCCACAGTTATCATCAGGATCCATCGCGGTACCCAAGTCCAATGAATAGCACAATTCAGACGGAAATTCATTCTGAAATGACCTCACTTACCTGCTGTACAACATGCCGATCCCATGATCCACCACCAGCCCACTAAATCAAACGTGACGTGAACTCAGCACAATTTAGTGATACAAATATACACACGTCCGAGAAGCCTTCCTCAAATTAGACCAATTTCCCCGACATATCAGGTTAACCGCAAAAGTACGTATTCAATCACATAATCGGATAACGTAGATTTGATGGCTGGAACACGCAGACAAGATATCAGTGCAAGGTGCATACGTAACAATAAATGCTCGGAAAGCAACGCAAATCCTATTTTCAGTCTACCATTATAATTTTGTCTAATAATTGTAGCGCTGTGGTTAACTCTGATTTGACACCTGTCTTTCTCTAGCAGGTCACAACTCAACACATTTCGAGTGAGAACCCCGCAGCTGACGCTATAACGTGTCCCGATTCTCATCATACACAACAAATAATGATTTCAATTATGTTGTGATATAATTCTTTATTCATAATATCTGTATTGCTTCGCTCTTCTACATCATGGGACAAGGTCTATGTCGTGTTTTGAAGCCTCATATCAGGCTCAGGAAATTACTTGAAATTAGGGTCAACCAAGAGGCCAGGCTATCTAGTTGTTACTATGGCAACGGAAGATGTAGGGTCTTAGAAAGTCTAGAACAAAGGATTTAGAGAGATTATATGAACCAAGTCATGGTCAATAAATCGTTATCTTGAAGGAAATAAGCCACGTTCCGTTAAGACTTAATGAGGATATATGGTTAAGGGCAGACGACAGTAACAAACCACAATGCAATGTGATTACTCAAAGTGCACATCTTCATAAACTTACAAATGATTCTGTATGGCGCAATTTGATATAACTCGATGTGTACATGTATTTTTCAGGTGTATTGAAAATTCTCTGCTCCCTGTGATACGGCACTTAAGGCCATGTAAAAAATATACATGTTTAGCGTCCCCGCCCGCTTCTTTTTGGGGGGCCGCCTCCTATTTTTTTTTTTTTTTTTTTTTTGAATTTTTTTGTTGATTTTTTTTTTTTTAAATTAAAGAAAAAAACCATGAAAAAAACACTGCTAAAATGGATAAATTTCTGATTAAAAAAAAAAAAAAAAAAAAATGTTGGAGGCCATCTTGAAAAATAGCCCGACTGTCAGGGAAAATGTACCGAGCGGCCATTTTGAGCGGCCATTTTTAAAAGGAAAAAAAAGGGCCTCCTCCTTCCTATTTTTGGAAAAAACAGGACGCTAAACATCTTTCTTTTTTTTTATTTGGCCTAATGCCCAGCTGCCGAAAACAAATAACTGTTTTCATATTACAAGTAACTTTACGGTCGTATTGAGACTTATTATATATTTTCTTTTTATCTATAAAAAAGAGGATAATTTCGCATTACTATCAGGAAGTGGGATTTCAAATATTACTGTAGTCTCTAATTATGCAGTGATCCGTTACTCAATTTTAGGTTGATTCTTCCCATGCACTCTCACTGTCGTTTCTGCCTAGGAATCTTAGAATCTAGTATCTTGATGTGTGACGGGGGAATGACCTAGGCTGTGGTTTGACCAGATGTTGTGTTACCACGGAATGACCGTTACTCATATCCATTAAAAGAGGTAAACAATATAACCATCGTGGTAAACAGGCTAGAGCTTCAGAACTCTTGATATATCCCGTGTAACATCATCAAAATTAAAAGTATTTAAGACCTGTTCTCGAAGCTATTACATGGCATTTATCTCTAAATGATCTTCTATTGACCAGCTATTAACAATAAGGTTTTTTTTGCGATGGAGCTATTTCATCCATGTCGTTTCAACCACAGCATCTAATAATATTATTTTGTATTCAGAAAAGGTGACACAATTCAAATAAAATTGATCGCCTTGTTTATAGCCATTTGAAAAGTGAGACCATTACAGTAACCTGTGACGTAGTCCGAACAGAGTTCTATGTTGTTGTAGTTGTTTTGGGATTTTATCGGCGTTTCTTTCTTTTTTAGAATATTAACACCTTTCCCTTTTTTTTTCTTTCTTTTTCGTTTACCATTTTTTTTCCTTTTCCTCATTTAATAGCTCAATCTCAGATCCACTGGTCCACGAAATAGGCCTACTATATAAAAGGAAGATAAGGATTTGTTAAAAGTCTATGCGATCCTGTTAATACAATCTTGGCATACCTTCAGCCAAAGACGACTGATCGGGACCAGAATGTGCTGAATTATTGACGTCATCAGCGGCTGTGCTTTCATTGCCATCATCGCAAGGTATGCTAGGAGTCGTAGGCTTGTCTGATGTCACTGAGTCGGTTTTTGAGGAGACACGTTCATCAACGCTCGGCAGAGCGGGGCTTTCCTTTATCCTCTGTGATTCCGTCTACAAGAAGGGGAAAAAGCGTGACATCGATCCAAGTATATAATCAATGTGGGTGTGTGAAAGTCGAAGACAAAGATACGTTCATAAATAATACATGTATCATTTCTGCCTCTGATGATGCAACGTACACAGAGTCAGACGCTCCTACTTCTATAGTAAGGGCGGAATCATATCCATAATCGCTAAATGGGGGGGGGGGGGGGGGGATCCCCTTGACCCTCGGGAGACAGAATGTTCCTAGGTAGCCCCATGTGACGTAGACATACTTCAAACTTAAGGACCATCCAAGTGCGTACTATTCAGGGGTCTAGTTGACAACAAAAAATTACTTTAAATTATTATTATTTTGTGACAATGTCTCATAAATACTCACTTTTCCCTATATTTTGTAAACTTTATGATGTATATAATATATTGTATGATTATCTTTATAATGTATGTTATTTTGTCTTCATATGTATGCGATACTGTATCTTATTGTATCTAAATGTTTTTTTACGATGAATGAAACAAATTCGCCTATTTATCTATCTGTATTCATATGATAAGTGATATGTCACCGTTATGAATATCAACACTGGTATTAGAACCTTAGTACGAGTCACTTTGAATATAAGTGCAGTAGTTACACAACGCTGGGGATGGGGATGGAAGTGAGTATCTTTGGCCCCGGTAACATACACCAGCACTTTGGATAACTTTGACTATACTCCGTGCAAGTAAATCTTTGTCAAACATGTCACAATGATGTCATCAATAATCTTAAAATAGCATTAAACATATGATTACTGATGGCATTAACTAGGATATTGAATTTCGAAATTAAAAAAAAGTCCCAGCACCTTACCGTGCTTACGATTTACTGCATACAGCCTGATGTACTCGTGGTAAAAAGAAAATGCTGGAAAACATTTTAATTTTTAATTTCGACTGAAAAGTTGCCCTTTTCTATATCCTTTTGAAAAAAAACAGTTTTATTAGATTGTCATTATTTTTGTTAAAGAAAAGTTGGAATGCCGATTTGGTGATCAAATGGCAGGGCACATGCAGCATGCCTCCATAATAGAATGAATACAAATACTCGATAGAATTAAAACAAACGACTCAGCATTGACAACCATGAACAAAGGGTCTACTGCTTGAAATATATGAACATACACTGTACAACATATATCTGGGCGTTAATTGAAGCTTCTCAAACAGGGGTGCTTTTATAACAGTTATATTCTAATCAACGATTCGGTGACGATAATAGTTTTACGAAAGGATTTTTTGAACGATTGCCATATAGCCATGTAAAACCATGTAAAGCAAATTTAGCTCCTTTGCAATATTGCTGTGTGCGGGTGGTCGATGAAAACTTTTTGAAAGGAAGGACAATCGTATTCTAATTTTGATGATGATATACTACCACGACACCTATTCTCCATATTGGTAATATCACATTATTTAAATCACATTTACAGATTATCAATCATTTATAATTATCTACATCATGTACTTGCATGACACATTTCTGGTGAGTAAGCCTACCATGATGGTTAATATTAGATGCAAAGGGTTGACTGACGTCACATGCAAGTGGAGATGATAAACATCATATTAAAAAATGTACTGCTTTATACCCACACACATGAATTATGAGCAGCTGATATGGTGTAATATGCATATCAAATATATAACATTGCCTCATAAAAATTGATAATTCCATATCTAGATTGCAACCTACCTTATCACCTGATGTTCCTGTGAGATCTCCTATTTCGCTATCTTTAACGACTCCGCCACTAGTCTTTCCAAGTTCTCCTACACTACATCCATTAGAAGTCCGCATTATCCCCTCATCGTCGTCAGTGTTGCCATGGCAATCAGTTGATATCATCGATGGCTTGGTATCATTTCTCCCCTTTTCACCGCGATCTAAAAACGAGGTCGATATCATCGGCTTTGTTTGATGCTTTGAACCTAATGAAATAGCAGCATTCGACTTCAACCTGACGAGAGATTTCTTAGACTCACCCTTACCAGCAGTCTCACCCGTCTTCGTTGGATTTCTCTTTCTTTTGAATATGTTCTGAATTTTCTTTGTCACTTCTTTAACTTTGGTATCATTCAAGTCTATGTCGATCTCATCCGCCTTTTTTGATGATGTCGAGACGAGATTGCCCGTGTTTGTATTTGAGCTTTGTGGACGTGTTCCTGTTCTGTCATTGTTGGTACATTGCAATGCTTTATCACCCTCCTTGCATTTCAGTGTTGAGGTTAATGCTCCTTGTCTTTCAGATATTTCATTAAGTGATTCCCTTGTATCGTTCACATTAGTATCTAGATCATTGAGGTTCCTCTGAGCCTCTATTGATTCCACCTTTGCTAATTTATTTCCTATTAAGCTCCCATTCTCATTCTTCGAGGTAACACTAGCGCTTTTCTTTCCACGTATTGCTTCCTTAGAGGAGGTAGTATGTGACTTAGCTTTGCTAGAAGTCCTCTTTTTCCAAAAGGCACTTTGAAGTTTGAACGCTGTCTTCTGAACATCGGGGTCTGATAAATCAATATCTACCTTCTCAATTGTCTTAGACGTCTCGCTTACCTGCTCTTTGACCAGTGGTTCATCTAAAAGGTTAGCAGAAGATTGTGGTTCTGTTGATATTTCGTTTCCAGCATCCTGCTCCTTAAGTTCTAGATTCATCTCTTTTGTTGATTCATTGTCTTGTAGTTTCCCATCATTTGGAGATATTTCATCAAACGACACACCTCGAAGTTTCTCGGTTACCGCCTTTACTTCGGCATCCAGGAGATCGATGTCGATGTCATCACCTAGACTGGCCTCGCTAATCGATGAAGCTCGTCTAATCATTTGGCTCTTGTCAAAAGATGAACGGAAATTGGCGTTCGCATCTGCATGAATGATGTTTCCACCATCCGGTGAGGGTGGTTTAGAATCACTTTCTAGCTGGTTTGACAACTTGTCATTGACAATCATCACACCTTTGTATGTTTGATAGCTGACTGGAGCAGGTGTAATTTCATCAGGAACGTCACTTGATTCTATTCCATTCGCTGTCGACGTATTTTCAGTTCGGTCCACAAGTTGCTGTTCATTTGACAAGGTGTGTTTATCAAGATCATCATCAGCAATTACTACATTTACGGTGGTGTCAGTGTTTAATATCAAAGGAGAATCCGTTATCTCAAAGTCCGATGCCTTCGGGTTTTCTTTGATAATAGGGGTATCTGGAAATGATCCCGCATTTCCAGAAGAGGCTTTGTTGGCTTGTACTTTCTTACACGCCTTCTCTTCTACTGACCCCTTGCTCCTCTTGCTGTGCAACTTCTTGCGACGAAAGACTTGCTGAATCATCTTAGATGCATCCTGGACCTTGGGATCTTTGAGATCAATGTCAGGCTCCTGCAGAGCGTCAGGTACGGACTCTCGCTGAACATTTTGTGAGGTATTCGGTGATTGTTGGTCACTGTCCATGATACATTTCAGCTTCTTATCGACATCTTCGCCTTCGGCTGTTTCGGAGAGTGCACTATTCGGCTTCACCATCTCACAAACCTTACTTGAAGATGAAAGCACATGAGGAGAAAACTTGGTAACTGATACTTCTTCGACACTTGCTTCTTCTGACAAAACCATACTATGGTTTGCGCTTTCACAAAGCTCTATTTCCTGGTCATTTTCATAAACGGATTGATTCGTCAAGTTACTCTCTGTTAATGTTTGCTCTCGCATTTCAGTTAATGAGACAGGAAAGGGCTGATATTGGGATACAGATTTTTGTCGGGATAACTTCTTGCATATCCTCTCCTTTGTCATGTCTTTGTTCTTGAACGAAGTGGGCAATGAATCCTCACCACTAAGATTGCATTCTGAGCGAGAGTGCATGAAATCGGATGGAAGCGAATGATGCTTGTTCATCTGAACTTCACCATTCTCCATTGAAACATCACCCGGGAACGGATGACGTTTTTCTAAAGACGCTGAACTACCAAGTTCTGAACATCTATACGAGATTGAATCTGATTCAGTTCTTATTCTCTGCACTGATCTAAACTTTCTCGATCCATGTAGTTCCTTTCTCTTGCGAAAGGCCAATTGCATTCTCTTCGTTGCTTCTAATACCTCAGGGTCAGACAAATTAATATCAATAGGTTCCGCAATTGATTCTTCAATTCTTGCCTTCTTGTTCTTTTCAGTTCTCGAACTCTCGTTGTCACATTTATCTGCACCTTGTTTGTTGCTCTGGGTATATGAGTGTGCTTGACTACCCTTGTCACTGTCTTCATATCCATTTCTTTCTCCGTTCACGCGTTTCTTAACTATTGTTATGTTTTCATAGCGTATGAATTTGAGCTGTTCGTGGGTCATTGGCCTTGCAGGGATAGAGGGTGCTTCATTCTCTGACCGAGATTCGGTACAACTGTTACAATTTGGTGTACCAGATTGATGATTACAGTCTTCTGGAACTGGCATACTGTAACATGTTTCTTCTGAAGATGAAATTAATCTTTTAAGACCTTCAAGGATCTGCCTTCTATTTGAAGATAATTGTTCTGGAGAAGGAGCTTCTGTTTCCAGTGGGGTTTCTATTTTCTCATCTTCTCTATTTTTACTAAAATCTGCCGTGTGATTAGTCGTTTCTTCTTGAGTCTGTGTTGTGTCTTGTTGAATTACTTCTTGGCCATGTTCGTTGGGAGAATGCATACGATGTGTAGAGTCTGATTCATCCATTGAGCTATGATTCACATCAGTGTCATGACATCCACTATCACCACTTGAATTACCAGGCTGTCTTAACCGCCCTCGGATCTTCATTCTCATATTCGCTATAAGTTCACTCTTATCTTCAGACCTCATGGCCTGGTCAAAGGCATCACTTCTAGAAGGGTATGGATAGTCCCAGTATTCCGTCCGCATTGCATGGGTGTCCATCATGTCCTGGGCATAGTCACTTTGCTCATGCAGTCCTGGTACCTGCTCTTCAAGCCGTAATGCAGTCAATTCGTTCTTCTGACGTTGCTCGTCATCTAGTTCCTCCTGTTCGACACTTGTCAGGAGACGATGGAATGTTGGCAAGTTCTTAAAGTATTCCTTTCCTTCCACATATCCACTGAAATCCTCTTCATAGTGTGGTTCAAATCCAAACGACCCATCACTACCCTGCGAGAGTCGTTTATTCTCCACACCTTCCTCTGTGTTCTGAGGAACTGTCCTTCCATCTCCAAAAGCACCAGAAATGTCTTTCTTACTCGCCTCCTCAGAACAAGCATTTTGTGCTGTTTCATCGGAACGACTATCTATCTCACCATCTACCTCATCTTCAAAAATTGTTTCATAGGCAGGAGAGTTACATTTTTCTACAGATGCTGTTATTGAATCGAGAACCCACAAGGGATTGATCTCGGATGTTGATTCGACGGAATCTGTACTGGTTTCCAACTGTTCACAAGGTTCTTTCGAGGCAACATCGTTTGGCAAAGTGTGTTGCCCCTTCTCTTCTTCTATGAACTTTTTGAGTTCGTTGATGGGATTCCAGTTCTTACTAGAAGAATCTTCTCTACAATCTCCCATCAGCTTTTCTGTTTCCAAACAATTATCAATGGTAGATGGATCATTTACATGATCGTTATTAATTTCAAATTGCACTCGACGCTGTCGTTGCAAAGGTGAGCAATGTCGTGTGGTATCCTTGTCAAGTGCTCTCTGTTTCCTAAGTGCCTTTTCCTCTGACCCGCAGCCATTACCATTGAAGTTTGACCGATTCGATTTACCAGCCTCCGGTTCACGTGATCTGCAGTTCACTCCACCATTTAGCTTTTCGGTGTGATCAGAAACACACTGATTACACTCTTCTCCATTTGCTTTTAAAGCACCTCTTGTAAATTTCGAACCCTGTGACTCAATCGTAGAGGCATTTGGGAAGTGTTCCACAGAGTTGAGAAACTTGGTGTCAAGAGCACTAGGTGACGCAGATGAAAGGACAACAAAAGCCTCCGATCGATAACGGAATGGTTTCAAGAAAGGCAACTTCAGGGAAACACTGGCGTCGTGCTTGACTTGTACTGCAGAGATGCTGTCTGCAGGGAGGTCTGTCAAAGAAATAGCATAAAGCCACAATTAGAAACGTCTACTGACCACAGAGCATTAATGATTCAACTTTATGGATTCCCGCCAAACTTGGGTCATGAATTTATCTTGCAGAGCCAATGAAGTGATTAGATTTGGGGGTCACGATGATAACCGTGCCCCAAATTACTACTACTGGGTCTTAGCACATAAATTGAGTCATCCGTTGTTATGGTCGTTTAATGATTTCGTTTTTTAAGAAGACTTTACATAGGTCCATACCGTTATTTCCACACTCCAAGTAAGTAAGGAATGATGTTGGTTGAAAGTATTACAAGAAGAATAGGTACAAAAAGTTAAAAGGCTGATAAATTTCAAGGTATGTTACCTTTCCGTCGACGATTCAACGATACTTCGATGGTAAGAGGTGATGTATTGGGCGGCAACCCCCGTTGATTGGGCTCCATGGTCACGATTCCCTTCTAGAGATTCCTGTTTGATTTAATCAAATAATGTGTTACTTGAAAAGCCTCAACCTCTTTAAGGTACTGTATGTCTAGAAGTTGATATCATTATTGATATTATACAAAGGCCAAAGGGAGAAAAAGAAGTTTGATTTTCAGAAATGATGATATACACATCGTTGTATTACATACATTTCCCTTCGTATAAAGGTTTCATTACATTTCATTACATTAATTCCCCTCACTCTCTCCGTTGTTTCTTTATTCAATACTCCCCAGCATGTGTTTACTTTCATTTCTTTCCTTTTACAAACCCAAAATAAATACATTATTTTATATAACAAGCATGGCTTAGCATTTAATATGCAATACATGTCAATATGGAATACCATTTACGGAATAATCTTAATTTAAGCAAACATTTCTTGCTCAGTTTAAGTTTGAAATGTTATGATCCGTTCATATAATCAACGCTTCGTATTAAATCTCGATCACTATAGCCAGTGTTGGGACATAAACATTTGGCATGCCTCTTCCTTTTTATAGCAACAGAATTTCACCGGGTGTCTTGATATGAGATGATAATTTTCCTCATTGAACATCATCTTCATTGCTTTGTAATGAAACACATTTAATTTTGTTTTGCATAATCAAGAAAAAGTAATCAATATCGGTTTTAATAAAACTGTTAAACCCTCTAACTACAGAAAATATATATTTATTTATCGACCAACTATATTTGTTCATTGAATGACTACATTATCGTATATTCCCTTCTTTCAGAGCTGATTTCCATTTCTCAGGTATGAAATTATAGCTGAGCGATAAATGCTGTCCTTACCTTCAGCGATATAGTCACGAGATGATAGACGTTGCATCCAGATCTTCCCTTGCTTTAAGCGGTAGAAGCATCATCGGAGTGTGGCTTCTTCTCTCCTGTCATATAAACAGACAAAAGAAAGAGAACGTTTAATACCATGTCAGTCGTTTTTCTTTCACAAAAGCGTGTTGACCATTTACCTATTACCAATATACCATTAAAATACTGATATTAGCTCTCCAACCATGACGTCAAGAAAGATCGAAGCGAACCTATATTTAGCACCGTAGAAATCGCGATATTCATATTTTGCATCAACAGATCACAATCTTTGCACCTAATTTTGACTCTCTTTTCCTGTTGTCCAGTGTTGATGTAAGGTAAAACTAATCCAGGTCATACACCCCCAAATCGCACAAATACCGAAAGAGGCATGTACAAAAAAACAACAAAACAACAACAACAAAAATTAATCGCAGTAGTAATCACCATATTCTGAATCATCATCACAATCTCCAACTTGGATTCTAGTTCTTTTCTCGTTCATGTAGAAATGTTCACAGCACACGAGTTCTATTAAAAGAGCACAGCTATTTAAATAGTCCAGAACCTAAAACTCAACCATTTTCACATGATCACCTATAATGTATATGCCTCGTACAGCTGTGTAGAACAGAAACAAGTAAACCTCGATTTCAGCGAAAGGAGGGAGCGTTGTACCGCTTCTCGTTTCCCACGTCACCATCAGATACTATAAGATCCAATACTTTTTTTGCAAACAGGAGACCAAGTGCTTCCATCTAGCTAGGGGGCGCCAAGAGAATGTGATGCATTGCTGTCAATCACTAAGAACACATCACCATCATCAGCGCATCACTTAAATCGGCACGGATTTTCATCTCTTGTAAATGTCTTCTATCAAAGAAATAAGGCGAGGTAGGGTTGGTACAATCCGGTGGATTTGAAGGGAACGTGACACGTGACATGGGAGGTTCACTTAAGATGCTCTCTGGATTATGGGCGAAGCAAGGGCCGGCCAGCCTAAGAGGCAATTTCGTGAAATATATTCATATGTAATCACCCCGTAATTATCTGACTGCTACACGGTGCACACCCAATCACTCTGTCCTCGCCTTAGGTCTCCACAGACAGACGTCTTGCTACCTGTCTTTTAACATTATACTAACTTTCGTTCCATTCTTTCCACTCTATTTATGTCTCCAATGTAAAAAATAGAATGCACATTCAGTTCTCTCGATTTATTATGGAAACAATGTCTTGGTCTCTCACCTTCAGAATGAGACCATACAATATCACCATGACTTACTTCTGTCTTTACCCGCTCTGATTATGCTAAACATTACACAGTCTATGCTTTAACGTATTACATACACTATGGGAATAAGTATCAAATTATGAGGCAACTCCCTTTCTCTACGCGTCTAGAAACCATATCTATTTAAACAGTTATTAGTGTACACTAACCAAGCACATTCTTATAACATTTGTTTAGAGTGTATGTATTTGAAAACAAACAGATGAGAGCTAAATATCAAAATCAAACAAGGGCGTAGTCTCCGTCTCCTCTTTCGCGACATTGCTCTTTATTAGAAGAAAAACAAACACCCACAATATTTGAATATTTATGTCCTCATCATCTTAATCCCCATTCCATTCCTAATGCATCGCAACACAGGTTGCATCCGATAAATAAGAGTGGGATAGTGACACAGTTTTTTCTCGATCTCGTTCTCCATTAAGGCAAACCCTCGGAGCTGGTTTGATTTTCATTTCCTTTCACGCCCTGAAACATGTTTTCATCGTCTTAACATGTGTTTGGAGCTACTCCCAGCTTCAGACTTAGTGTCTCAGTCGTTACTTCTAAAATAAACCTGCCTGGCGGACGATGAAAATACATTTCAACAATCATCAGTAAGCGACTTTTACAAAATACACCTGCTTTTGCTGTATATTACCTCCGTTTCTACCCCTTTACAAATATCTCCTCAATGTTTTCTACATTAGCAAAGATGTTTATTTAGAACAGAATGTTGTGATTAGTACAGTTTCATTACCGTTATTGGTATTCCAATCTGTATTTTTGTTTTGTTCATGTGTTGTACGGTTTCATTTATTTTTCGGTTCTTCATTACAAATTAATGTTATATTGAACTCTGTAACATATCAAGGTTAAAAGATAACAATATTCATATCTGATATAATTCTCAATCTACAAGGTGGAACTTGGAGGATTTGTTTCTCGTTTGTTTCTACATGCACCGACGTGAAGGTTTATCAATGTCTCACATAAGCGTCCCAAATATTGTTTCTGGCTAGTTTTATACATGCACATGAAGGCACACAAAAAGGAAAGAAATAGAAAAAACATGTTTTTCAAAACAATCTGACATTAGATATCAAATGTCCAAGGTCTAAAAGTTCGCTAAAGACTACATAATTAAATTAATGGGAACGAGCCTTTCCAGTTCGCCCCGTTTAGATATGTATGAAAGATTAAAATTATAAACGTCATGATTTCATTAATTAAATCGGCTGCACTCGATTCAGTGGAAATACGGCTACAAGGTGACCTAATTTAAGATGAGGAGGGGAGGGGTTGAGGTGTAATTATATTACCACGTATTTAGTACAGGTGCATAATAACCGGATCGGCTATTAGGCCATGTTAGGAGTTAAAGTATGGTTGACCTCAAGACAGGCACAGCAGGATTTCATACCTAAATGTAACGTTGAGGTATGAGATTCGTATGTCGAAGAGATAACAGATAGCTAGAAGTAACTGTGAAACGTTGATCGTGTAGCACTGAGCTGATTTTGAATTATCAAATAATAATAAAACGACTAAATTACAAACAGGGAGGAAAGCATTGTACACGGATATGTGTAGCCTATGTTGCTGCGCAATATAGCATGAGCACATTGTTCTTAAGTTTTAAAAACTTTATTGATGAATTTCGAATATGATGACATTTCAAGGAAACCGAGGAAGTTGACCGACACTACATTATGTGAAAGTGGTAGATTCGCCAATTTGAAATTTCCATAATGTATAGGGATTAGAACTGTCACAAATTGTAACATTGTTATTGTTTATCCAAGTTTTCTGACTTTCACCTCTCTGTGTTTCTGACGTTTTTTTAAGTGTGTTGCTTTTCTTCAAGGCAATTCGTTCTAAAGGTTAGTATTGCCCGTTAAAATGGACAAGTATAATGAATAAGTCATCAATTAACGAGATTGGGCGGGGAGTACAAAATCGAGAGAAGCCATTAACGATTTTACAGTTAACTTCAAATGGAGTCAAAAGGTCTCGTTTGCTCGATCTTTACTGTGAAATATACCTAATTGGCAGGATAAATTGGTCAAATGCTGGCGTTTGAAGTTGTCGTTGCTATAGCAACATACTGCATATTGCATGTGTACAGCTGTTGATGAAAAGAGTAAAGGTCTTCATATTCCATTTCTTGTATCCAATACATATCTACAATTACCTTTGCGAAGCTTGTTAAGGGCACACTAAACAGATCAATACCTGAATGAAATATGATAATAAAAGGGGTAATGTAGTGACCTGTGTTCACTCTTTGTAAAAAAAAAAGTGAACATTTTCGATTATTCTCATGACGTTGTCCAATTACTTGATACGATGTTGCCTACACTCACAGAGAAACCAAATGAACAATGTATTCACCGTGAATCATTGTACACGTATTAGTATGGTGTGCTTTCATTGCAAGTGGATGCAGTAATCAGAGTAATATAAGTATGCAAGTAAAGAAATGATGCAATGTAGAGAAGCATTTAAAAGCAAAATGTAAATGGAATAGAATACTTTAGCTCAAGGCATCATTAAACAAAACAAAATATTTTAAAAATCATTGGCGTCAAACTTTGCTCCATTTTATAAAATGAAGATGCAAATATTTACATGATGCATTCGACCACATTTCGAATTAACTATAGGTAAGTAGAGGGAAGCTGAGAATTTTGCACTCGTCGAAAAGAATCTGGAAACTGGAATATATGTGTTAAAAGGAAGGGCCATATCATTGATCAACTGGAGTGTTTTCCCTGCAATCCACCTGCTCTGTCGTACGACCAGACGTAGTTGTGGCATTCTCCAATAATCGGTATAATTGATATTGAAAACCAACACCACCACAAACTATTAATAATGAGTGATATTACCCCCTGAGTCTGTGGTTGGCAGGTGAAGCGATCTAGATAAAACTGTTTGAAACGTAGACTCGGCTACCCGATGTACGCAAGGTGATGTACGTCACAGTCTGATTGGATGAAAATTACAGTACTTGGTATCAAAATATTTCGAGAAAATAAACCTCTATATTGAAGTTTAATACACAAGAAACTCTCGGAGTACGATGATAAATGACAACATTACACCAATACTAAGGAACATACTGCCAATATGAAAATATATAATCTAGGTAGAAATGAATTAGGGAAGTAATTTTGAACTGAATTTAAAAAAAATTATGGCGTATTCCAAGAAGTAATAATCTGAATGAACGATGAATTTATTGAAGGTTTAAAAATAGTCTGGCTTCGCATATAAGACAATGAACTCCGTGATCACCCTAATTACCAATTTATCATACTCTCAGGACCAGAGCGCCATTCTGATGTGCAATTACCATATCGATAGTTGTCATGGAAAAGTAGGAAAAACGATAATCACTGTAGTGCAATAAACAACAGATTCATTAATTTTCTCGGCGTGACTAATTAGGAAAACAATTTGTGTCAAGTCAAAGATTGTTTTGAGGGGTTAAAAGAATGGGTCAATAGAACCAGAATATTTGTATATATTCCAATATAGTATAATGTCATTATATGTCCGTTTTTTTTTAAATAAATAGTTTTCTCTATTATTTTAAGCTAGTATTTATTGACACATTTTGGGAAGGGGAAAGCGAAATGTGATAGTAGTATTTCTATTCCATTAGGAACATAAGCATTGTCTTTGACGTTGTTTCTTCCATTGTCAAACTGTCATTTTCCCTTTCACTCTCTCTCTCTCTCTCTGTCTCTCTCTCTCTCTCTATCTATCTCTCTTTATCTCTCTCTCTCT